ATTCAGACGGACAAGGCCTCAGGTAAAGAGGCCACAAGTGGAAATAACCTCTTCCTTTGGGAGTTCAAGATGAAGTTGAAACTGATGTTCAAATATCTCAAGTCCGACGAGCTCAAGCTTTGGTCGGAGAACTTCTTTGGTTGAGCGGCCGCACGCCGCACAAGACCAGACCTTTGCTACGGTGTGTCCATCATGGGACGCTTGGTGACGAAGGCACCGACCAAGGTTCTGGGGTGGGGAGCTCACACGCTGGGCTACTTGCAGTCCGATCGAGCCGACCTTCGAAGACTGCGGCTGGAAAAAGGCCCTGCCTGAAGGTGTACTCAGATGCTTCTCATGGAAGAGGACAACAAGGTCTCTTGGTGACCTACAACGGCTCTCCAGTTCAGTGGGAGAGCAAGCAGCAACCGTTCGCAACATTGTCAAGCGCTGAAGCCGAGTTGATGGGCTATTTGATGGTGTGGTCATCGGGGAGTCAGTCGCCTCGGTGATCAACGTGTTGGAAGACAATCGTCTTCACCTTCAGGCCAACACGTCCTTTGCGGCGATTCTCAAACTGAGTTGAAGATTTTGGTCGCCCTGGAGGACAAGACACCACCCCAGGCTCCGAGCGTCTGTTGTGAAAGAACGCATCCAACAGAGCTGCTGGAAGACCCAACCTGTCCCAGGCGCAGAGCTCGCCTCAGACTTGCTCACTAAGCCGATCGTCAACCCGACGTTGTGGCAGAACTTCTACGCCTTCATCGGAGCTCGAGTACTGTCGAAGAACGTTGTGATCGAGCTCAAGATGCGCTGCCGTCGAAGTCAAAGTTGATGGCCATTGTGGGCGGCATCATTGGCATGGCGGCTTGGAACCCTGTTCAACAAGCTCACAAAGTGGCTCGCTGCCTTGGCCTGACGGCATCTGGTAGCTGCACTTGCAACTTGGTATAAAAAGGAGACCCCACAAAGACCAATGAGCAACCCACGGTCGATTCGCAGGCGGGGGCACCTTTGGGAAGCGAATCGGTCGAAAAAGAAAATTTAGATCGGTGAGGGAAAATGAACCCACCGCACGGGAGGGGCCGGGAGGGTTGGGACTAGCCTAAATGGCTATACTCCGGCCGCGTCTTGTGCGAGCGTTCGTGGCGTGCGGCTGGCTGCGCTTGGTGCATGTGGGACGCCAGTGCAGCCTGAAGAACGCATTTGGGAATGGCATCCCTTCATGCTGCCGCCACAAGGCCGTGACCGCTGGGGCCGCCTTCGATATGGATGGTGGGTGAGGCATCATGTCAGACCTCGCAAACGCCCTTTTCATCCACTACATCGCATGACGCCGTTCAACGGAGCTCAAATTCGACACCGGCGAGTCACTGTTGTTTGGCATCATTGCGAAAGAAGTGTATTCAATGATGATGAGGAGTGGGATTGGCCCTGTGCTTCTTGACCAAGATCAATGGGTAGGCTACACCTTTTTTCGAATGAAGACCCAGCTGATCACCAAGGGCAGGCGACGTTGTCTTCGGTGGCTGAAAACTCTACCGACACTCCGTCGTCCACTCCGGTTGAACTTTTGAGTGAAGTGCGCTATGTACGACGCGGATCATCGTCATCTATGACCTCCCAACTCAGTGAACGGTCTCCGAGTGCGACTGGTTCAACTGCCGCAGCTCGAGGCCTAGATGCCGTTGATGCCGGTGTGACCCTCGGCTACAACACTTGGATGAGGCGCCGCAATGGATGGGCATTGTGAGCCAACTCCCAGTGAGAAGGCCTAGAAGTGATGCACCAGGTCAAAATGACCATTTTCAGGATCCTGATCCGGATTCAGATGGCAGCTATGAGCTGTGCCAAAGTTGAAAGACTTTTTTTGGCGGGTGTGACCATACGATGGTCAGGGGGAGTGTGGCAGTTGAAGCATGCCTCCAACCTCCAAACTTCGTTTGCATTCAGGTGCACAAAACGAGAAGTGTACCTGTTCCACTCAGGTGAAACTCGCCATTCGATGAACATCGTTTGGCTCAAGTTGCGCGGAGAAAAGGATCCGTACATCACGAAACGACACACCCAACCTTCCCTAAAAACAAATGCTTCTTGAATTTGAATAAGGCCCCTTCAAAAGACCCTTGCCTTGATCGAATTCCTGTTGAGAGTGGAGATTTTTGCAGTGAACCTTTTCCACTAGTCTGCCCCTGCCCAAGTAAGGCCCTAGGTCCAGGTGTTCACATGCCCCTTGTCCTTGTTCTAAAGAGGTGGAAACTCCGGATCAAATGGACTCTCTACCCTTTGGCGCACTCCCTGAAGCGCAGCAGGTTCATCTGTGCGATCTGCCAGGCCGGCCCGGATATCTCCATGCTCCTGCAGGAAGGACGAGTCATAACCCACCCATGTCTTTGCCAAAGAACAATTCCAAATGTGTCAAACAATTCCTCACGTTACAAAGAACAAGCAGCAGGCCTGGCAAATTTGCAGAACTACCGCTAACATCCAGTGCGTAGCTCCAGTGCGTTGCTCTTGAAAGCTTGAGATCCCGAAGTGTGCGAGAGTTCTAGCCGGCCTGGACCTTGGGGTGGAGGAGGTGTCCATACTCGACAGCGCGGGGATAGAATTCAAGTCCTGCTCAAATGCATCGGACAACTCTCTGTCCTTCTCTTGATCTTGTGCTAAATGGACTTTGAGAACATGTCAGATTCTCAGGTGTGCATACCATCTGTCCACATGCCTTCAAAACCAACCACTCTATAACCAAATCCTTCCCTTGAAGCGAAGCAAATCCACTATCCTCCTCCTTTTCGGGCATCGTCATGGGCATCGTCAAAGCTGGGCGCAGAGCGGGCTGTCTGTGGGGAGTCTGTACTTGGTTCGAAGCGCCACTGCGCAACAAGCAAATAAATGCAAACAGGTCATGAGGGTGCAAAGCCTCGAAATCTTCGGCACTGTGTGTCAAGGATTGCACTCCATTGTTACAGTGACAGTGACAACGCGATGTCAGTAGTCTCGCCACAAGAGTCGAGGAATGTTGTCTTGGTCTTGGCACCAAAAGCTTGTCAAATCAAATCAGTGCCCTTTGCTCCCTGTCTAAAGGATCTACCGTTTTGAGTGTCATTTACGAAAACCGACTCATAGCCAAAGTTTGCTCTAAAGTGCCTCGAAATATCCCAAATCCGAGAGCGACGAGCAAAAGGATGTCTGCAATTTCCACTGTTCAAGTCGCATTGGCTCACCTGTCCCCTCCAACATAGACCGCGCCATGCGCATCCAAGGCATCGACAACCTCACTCACCAGTTGCGCTTTCATTTGAGTTCTTGACATCCATATAAGTGAACTTTGGGTCTCCTCCCTAAAATACCGGAATGTCTTCATTTGGAGGCAATCGCTATCAAGTTGGAGACTTGTGTGAGTCACTTTTTCAGCCATACGGACCCTCCTTCGTCCCTAAGCTTGAGCTCGCGGCAGCATCTTTGCAGTCGGCCGACTCTCCGGCCTGAAGGACTTCCCGGATCCTTCCCTTCCCACGTAGACTGGTCAGTTGGTTTCGCTTTGTGTAGCAAACAAGCTGCCTGGGAGACCAAGCTTGTTTGCTCGGCATGGCTGAACGATATTAACCTTATCAGGCAACAACCACTTGGCCGCCAGGCTCTCTTTCTAGACACAAAGCGATGAAGCTCTTCGCATCGTTGGAGATGTGCCGCCAGACCTGCCCAAAACAGGGAGAAACTGCGAATTATTGTGCAAAGCTGTGGAAGATGGCAGAGGTTGCTCTATCTGTTCCCATAGATTTGACGTTTTGTGTATGGTCACTTCGACCATGATTTGTTGCTTAGCTGTAAAGAGCATGCCTAATTTTCAAAAAAATGCTGAAGCCCGTGCTGCAGGCCAGGCCTCTGCAGGCATAAAAACATAACCTCACTTCACTCTTGGGTTCTAAAAATGTTGCAATGCCTTCTCAAACAATTGCTTTACAATCGCCAACTGTGATGGTTTTATACAAGTGTTCTTATCACACCAAGAACAGCTGGCAATCCACAAGCATTCTGGAAGGCAGTGATATCCTAGCATGTTCTCAATGACGCCACACGAGCTTCATGAAGAATTAAACCTCATCGCAGAAGTACAACCAAAAGAGATATGCCAATTTCACGACCAGGCACGAGCATTCCTGAAGGCCAAGTTGTCAGCTGGGTTCGTCACTCCTGCGCGGTTGAAGTCATTAGCCATATTCATATCATCATATTCTATCATCGCATATTATCTACCATCTACTATCACTATCCTTCACAATCGATCACTGATCACACCATCTCCCCTGACTCCATGATCTTACATGTCTGCCGCTATGACCTTTCAGTATCTTTCAGGCTGGATCGGTCTCATGAACATCTCAGATTCGGCACAACCACAACCAATGATTATCTGTGTGATTCTTTAGGTGAAAATGAAGCCTGTTGTCTGTGCTGATACAAAGCAACATATTGTCATCATTGTTTCTCACACTAGTTACAAACGTTGGCATGATTCCCAGAATTCAAGTTTCAGTGGCGTCGGGCAACAAGCTGGCCTTTGGAGGGTTCGAATGGGGAGGTGCCCAACAGCAAGAAGTGGGAAAGGACACCTGGCATCATGTCTGGAAAAAGTGGATGACCAATGATAATGCGTCAGAATCCAACTCCGTGGCTCAGATGTCCAATTCTCTCTAAGCATTACAGTAACATAGGTCTAACCTCTTATGCTGGCGAGGCATGGAGTAGGCATATATATATATATCATATAGGGATTCAACGTATCATATCGAATGATGCAGTCGGTAACCCAAGGTCAAACGCGATTAGCCCGTCACTCGGGCCACCGATTTTGAGGCCTATTGCCCAAATATCCATCGCTGGGCTAGGCTTCACCGGGGGGTCCAGCTGCTCAGGTGCCTGCGGTTCAGAGCGATACGAACACGCCTTACCAAATGTGCTTGCATAAAGGAGCGATCGGACGCTCTCCTGGCCTTACTACTAGGAGCAAGGACACTACTAGGGGAGCAAAGGGCATCGCTACTAGGAGCAAGGACGCTAGGCCAAGTGTGGCCACTCGGCATACCCAAATCCCAGCAACTCCAAAGGTTTGAAGAACGGTACTCTGTCAGCGTCCTCGCTCCTAGTAGTAAGGCCAGGAGCCCCTAGTAGTGTCCTAAATACAGTATAGAGGTTGGAATTGAAAGTTTGGATATGTTTGGATTCAGTCTTTTTGAAGGGCTTCTGAGCTTCTGCACTGTTTGCTTGGTTCTTGACCTTGGAGTGGTGCCTAAAGGAATACTTAAGTACTTCTTAGAAAGTGGTTTGGTGTGGACGGTGTGGACAAAATGCAACTTTAAATCACTGCATGGTGATAGTGGATCGGTGCAAGAGCTTATCTTGTACTCCGACAATCTCTGTTTCTTCAGCTCTTTGATCGCTTGATCCAGCTCTCAGCCCAGAAATGTGCCCCGGAAGGCCCACCTGGCAAAACAACTTGGAAGCAGAGAGTGGTTTCTTATTCTCGCCCTTGCTGCTCTTCCGACCTCAGAAACTGAAACCTTTCGCTTGGGGATGAACTTCGGAAAGTTCGCCAGTGCAGTTCGTCGGGAAGGACATCAGGACACCAAAACATCTGGACGTTTTGGATGCACATTCAGCCCGGGGCTTCGTCCTGACCGCGATGTCTGAGTGCTGGAAGTGTTGGAAACCCGTGAGAGTCGTCGTTCCACACTGGAATTGCCTCTCAGAGCACGTCAAAGGCTCTGACAGGTGTGGAGTCTGCAAGTTTCTACAGGCAGCTACTTTTTGCAACTTGGGTGTTGATAGATTGAGCAGAGCTTGGACACAGCAGGGTCACCCAGCGATAGTTTTATTGAATCGGATCTGAAAGGCATGCATTATATATATTTAAGGATGTGGCACTGATTGGAGAAATGCTAACCCAGAACTAAGAACGCCAGCCCAGTTCCCCGATTTCTCATGCCTGCATTCACATTGGGATACATGTATCTTGCAGGGTTCCGCGGTGACTCTCGCCCGTACTTGCTCGACAGACCTTGGGCAGCAGAATGGATCTGAGGAACCATGTGTGCATTGGCTAATCCAGAACCTAATCAGTGACTGACTACAGTTTTGACCACAACTTCAAATACCTGTGCAAGTGGCAGGCTGCCGAGGCTAAGTCAATGCAATTCTAATCTTCGCAACCTTCATGACTAGGTTGGAGGCCATCTCTATTAGGTTGGAGGCCATCCAGGTTGCAAGAGAACTGTCTATGTACCCCAATCACCAAGCTTTCAGGTTTCAATGACCTGGAGCAACCAGCTTGGGCTTCAGCCAAAGTCTATCATCTTCAGTTTCCTCAGTTTCTGTTGCAAACTGTGTCAGCCTAGACTGAGGTCAATTTGGTACCTGGTACCAGCACCAAACGGCCACAAGGCAGATGGGGATTGATTCGCAGGTCAACTCTTGGTGGGCTACAAAAGCACTCAAACGAAACCAGCCTGATAGGTAGCACGTTGTTTCTGTGCCAGCAAGAATGCTGCATCTGAAGCAACAGGCAAAACATAAAACCCCAAAAATATCGCTACTAGGGGCTCCTGGCATCGCTCCTAGGAGCAAGGACGCTACTAGGGGCTCCTGGCCTTATTACTAGGAGCATTCTTGCTACTAGCAACAAGAAGCTACTAGGCACCAAATCATTAAGGCTCAGGCTTCTGCCTCCGATCGCTAATAGATCTCATAGCTTCCTATCCTTGAAGTTTACCCCTTTAACCTACTACTGTGGCTACTTGTAAGCTCACCTCTCGCGCCTGCCTCCGCCACAAAAAAGATGTTCTCTGTCCAGACATTCAATCGCTCCATCTCTAGGCACCCCGTCACTTCGCTGGGCGGGGTTGTTGTGTTCAAAGACTTTTCAATCAGCCAATTCCTTGGAGGCTGGACCAGCCCATCATCGGCTGCGGCATGCGGTATCCGAAAAACACTGGAGTACATAGTCGCTAATATTGTGGGTAACCAGCTTGGCATGGGCTCTCAAGACTCAAGCTTGGTACGGGCAGCTCCTGGCGAGGTCATTTCCAAGAAACAAACTCCGACCCATGGGTAGGATGATTCAAAAGGGATCAAAAGGAGATGTTCCGGGAAAAGGTCGCCTCCGAGTTGCACCTTGCAGGTCGGGTCTGAGGGCCCTGCTCTGGACACATATCGCAATGCACTACTCCCAGACTGTGCAGATGTGTGACGGCCTAAGCGGGTCACAGAACAACAAATCCAAGCTCTCAAGCACAATGAATGTCTTGCTACTTAAGGATACTTAAGGTCTAAATGGTCAAGCTGTCAAAACTCTGAACACTCGGTTCTAAAGGGACTTGACATACACTACAGCGAACATGGTCCGACCGGGCCTGAACCATCTGGTAGACAAACACGGCCACATTGGCCTCTGACAGAGCATGTCCTTGGTGAGTGAGAAAAGTGGCTCCCGTTGGGTACTGTTTCTCAAGAAGCTATTAGTAACAAGTGCCACGCTACTAGGAACAGGTGCCTTACTAGTAGTAACAAGAAGCTACTAGTAACAAGTGCCTTACTAGTAGTAACAATGTTTCTCAGCACGGGTGCTGTTTCTCAGGATTGTCTCTAACGTCGAAGGTAGGAATACTTGGGCCGGCTTGAACGAAAGCTAGCCCTATCTCCACACATGCCCATTCTAACACACATGACCCTGGTTCGTATCACCGGAGTCTGTTTCCGTTGCTGAGGCTGTAAGGTCTTACCGGTAGCGAAGTGGCATGTGACCATGGATGCATGGTTCTTCTTGCCGTTGCAGTTCAGTTTTCCCGTGACGATATAGTACATTATAGTACATTGTAGTGCTGGTTCACTTGAATATTGTCGCTGGAGTTGAATCGGTACATGGTAAAAGTTTACCACTACCGGGTGAAACTTGATAGCTGACGACTGCTGGTCCAGTGGTAGTTTCTAATGTTCCATCGTCAAGTCGAGTCGTAGGAGTTCACGCCTCCGGTCGGTGATCACCACCAATGGTTCCCAGATTTGTGGTGCTGTGTTTCTAGTGGTAAAGTGGTAGCTTTTGGCTTTTGCGTGCTTTTGCACAATATCTACTGGCAAGTGAAAGCCCAGCTAGTGCATACTATGGATTCATGCTAGAAGCAATGGCCTCCAACCTAATAGCGATGGCCTCCAACCTACTAAGCGATGGCCTCCAAACTACTAAGCGATGGCCTCCAAACTACTAAGCAATGGCCTCCAACCTATATAGCTGCTAGCTTTCATGACATGTTCACGCCAACACCTTCGTTCCCCTCCCGTTTTGTTCGCTTGAGGAAGGCACCGCTCAGTTGCGCCAGGTTGTTCAGATTTCCCCCGCGGCACAGCTCCATGACCTCGGACTTGATCTAGCAAAGGACGCTACTTGTAGCTCCTGGCATTACTACTAGTAGCAAGAAGCTACTAGGGTGGAGGCCATCGGTATCAGGTTGGAGGCCATTACTACTAGTAATAAGGACGCTACAAGTAGTTCCCGGGCAAGCCGGCGGCGGAAGTTTCCTATAAGAACACATTGACCTATAGGAGTGTCCACGTTCTCTCCACCATGCGTGTCCCTCGTGTCACTCACTGAGCCAAACACATGCGCTCCGGACTGTTGACACACACACACACAGCGCCACCTGTGCAAGGTCTGTGCTCCCTGCAGGATCAGCGCACTGGCTTGTGTCTATGCCAAAGCAAGATCACCAGCCCACACCGGCGTGCTGAAGCAACTGGGCATCTGCAAGCGAAAGTTAAGTGCAGCTGGTGCGGGCACGCGAAGTGGGTGGTGTTTTCAAAGTCAAAATCATGTCTTCATTGTCCAGCTTGCCAAATACTCCGCGTACTTTACAGTTGTACTACAAAGTCGCCAGTTCTCATTTTCCAGCTCCCCAGATACTCAGCAGCGAGAGATGACTCAGGAGCAAGAGATGACTCACCAGCGAGAGATGACTCATCCGCGTACGAAAGTTGTACTACAAAGTCGCCAGTTCTCAGCTTCTAGCTGCACAGATTGCTCCGCGTACTCAAGTTGTAGTACAAAGTCACCAGTTGCTCTCTGGCTTGCTAGCTAGCGCCTTCAAACCATGGTCAGCTACATGTACGGATCCCAAAACAAAAGCAAGTCACACCCAGTCAACCCAGTCCAACCGCTGGTTCTTTCCAAACAGTGTCCCTAGTCATGGTCAGCTATACGTACAGAATCCAAAACAAAACAAATCATACCCAGGCAACCCAATCCGACTGGACGGGTTCCAAAACAAAAACAACATGCGTGTCCCTGGTCAGTCGCACGCCCTCCGGACTTTTTGACCACCACAGTGCCACCTGCGCAAGGTCTGTGCTATACCAAGGCAAGATCAGCAGCCCACACCGGCGTGCTGAAGCAACTGGGCATCTGCAATTGAAAGTTAAATGCAGCTGCTGCGGGCACGCGAAGTGGGTGGTGTTTTCAAAGTCAAAACCATTTCTTCCAACATTTGGTGTGCTCCTCCGTGCAAAAACAGCGAAACTGTTCCTCGTCGGGCAACGCATTTTCCGGCTGTCTGCGCGGTCCACAGTGACGCACGCAGATCGATGCCTCCCGACAAGAGCCAGGAATGGTTCACCCAGCGCCTCTGGCAGGGCTGGACAAGGTGGAACAACGGGCGGCGGGGGTGGTTCTCTAGCTACGAGGGTGGTGACATGACGTTGGTCACACCACCGCGCGTCGGAATGAATTTAGTTACAGAGGATTTCGAATTTACAATTTCCACCGCAACGCAGGTCACAACACCACACGCCACGCAGAAAAGCATGAGTGCTTCAACACTCGCGCACCAACTCTGACAGTCTGCTTGTGATTCGTCTGATTCTGCGTGTTTGCTGTGTCTCTAAACTCACGCTCTGCATTCAGTGTCAAGTACATGGACACGGCTGCGGAAAGCTTGCCTTTCGTCTCATGCCTTCATTCCATGCCTACAGCGCAACACGCATCTACAGCGCAGCGTCCCAGCCCACAACTTGCGTACTCCACGCCTGTAACCTTCGTCGTCGTCGAAATCAGCGGTGATCTCTTCAGAGACGACTCAGCAGTGAGAGATGACTCAGCGGCGAGAGATGACTCAGCAGCAAGAGATGACTCCCCAGCGAGAGATACGTCAGCAGTGAGAGACGACCCAGCCGCAAGAGATGACCCTGCAGCGAGAGATGGCTCAGCAGCGAGACATGACTCTGCAGTGAGACATGACTCCGCAGTGTGACAGGACTCAGGAGCGAGAGATGACTCAGCAGCGAGAGATGCCTCATCCGTATACTAAACTTGTACTACAAAGTCGCCAGTTCTCAGCTTCCAGCTCGCCACATACTCCGCGTACTAAAGTTGTACTACAAAGTCGCCAGTTCTCAGCTTCCAGCTCTACAGATTGCTCCACGTACTAAAGTTGTACTACAAAGTCGCCAGTTCTCATCGTCCAGCTCGCCAGATACTCCGCGTACTAAAGTTGTACTACAAAGTCGCCAGTTCTCATCGTCCAGCTCGCCAGATACTCCGCGTACTAAAGTTGTACTACAAAGTCGCCAGTTCTCAGCTTCCAGCTCTACAGATTGCTCCACGTACTAAAGTTGTACTAGAAAGTCGCCAGTTCTCAGCTTCCAGCTCTACAGCTTGCTCCGCGTACTAGAGTTGTACTAGAAAGTCGCCAGTTCTCAGCTTCCAGCTCCACAGATACTCCGCGTACTAAAGTTGTACTACAAAGTCGCCAGTAAAGGTGCACAAAGTGCTGTGCATGCCACGAAATCTGCACAGGGAGGTTCACAAAATGCTGCACCTGCCGCGAAATCTGCAGATGGAGGTTCACAAAGCGCTGCACCTGCCACGAAATCTGCACATGGAGGTTCACAAAGTGCTGCAGCTGCCACGAAATCTTCACTTCAAGAAACAAGTGAAACCTCTAATCCC